CTGCGCTGCGCTCATCTGTTAGCGTCAAAGTTGCCACAGTGACAGGCAGGGCCAAAGTGTGGTACAGGGGGGGGGATGAGCGTGCGATAGCCGTTTTAATTAGCGTAAGTAAGTGACGTCCAACTGTCAGGCAGCTCAGCCACACACAGAGAGAGAGCGAGAGAGTGCAGTGTGCAATGTGTGAGCTGTCAAACGAACCGCGCAGAGCAAACACTTTGCCCTCCCCCGCACCCACCGCCGCTCCGCTTGTTTTTGTTTTCAGAGGTTGAGCGTCATTTGAACTGTGTTTGCGGCACACACACACCCCGACACCAAGCCCCATTATGTTGATCCAACGATTATGAGGTGGCCCATCGATTCGATTAGCTTTGTTTAATTACCAACTAACATTTGGCATGGAGTATTAGCTAGTTGCACACAGTAAACATATGAGCTTAAGAGAGAGAGAGAGAGAGAGATCAATCGATTGGCAATATCGCTGGCGGCCACTCGTACATTTCTTCTTATGAAATTTCCATGTCTGCAGTGACGTCATGCTCTGGCTTCTCGCAGCTAAATAATCGAATTAGAAATGCGAGCGAATGTCGCTGTCGGAAGTTGCTGCTGACGCTGACTGCGAAATGTTATCCAAGCCAAAAAGTTCAAACATTAAGGTGCGTATGTAGCTGTGTGTGTGTGTGTCCCCCCCCCACCCTTTAATGGAGTTCATTGCATTTTCGGGCTGTTAACGTTCTCCCACAAAATTGGCTTACGTCGTACGCACACTTTTAAGCTTTACTTCGGGATGCATGCTCGAGATACCCGTTCGTACTTGCATTCCCATGTACCCAGTCACATCCATGTACTACATAACTGTGTATATGCTATTTCAAGTGTAATAAATTTTCGTATGCTGCTGCCGCCCCGTCCCTTTGCTGTTGGCACCCGTGTACTGAGACTTGAACCGAAACCGAAGCGTAGACAGAGACAGAGACGGAGACGGAGACGCGGACCGAAACGGTTACGGGAACGGGAACGGGAGACGTGGAATGAAATGGAGACCGAAACGGAGCCAGCGGCGGAGAACGAAATGGAGACCGAAACGGCGACAGAGATGGAGACGGTCTCCACCGGATCATTTCGTCGGTGGAGAGACAGAGAAGGAACTTTTGGCAGCGAGCACAAGTGCAAGCAGAATGGAACGGAGCGCCATTTGGCATTAACATGGTGCACAGTTGGAATTTTCCATTCAGAATTTTAATTCCCCCACCGGCTTTGCCTTGTCTCCGACAGTAGCCTCAATGGCCGCCTCTGCTGCTGCGTTGGCCCTGGGCCAGAGGACATTTTCTAAATGCAACTGGTAAAAGTTTTACGGATTTCATTTTTCGGGCCAACTGCGGCCGTCAATGTCGATTAGGAGATTTAAGGGTGCATGCCGGACCAGGACTAGGACCACGACTACGACCAGCAGCAAAACAACCAGATGCCTTGACCCATGTGCACTCGGTGTGGCTGGCTGTTGCATTAAAATTAAAGTTGCATGCAGGACTTGAAAACCAAAAGCTGACACAAACCCAAAATCAAAATAGGATTCACACACACACACACACACAGTGTGACTGGTGGGTTTTGAGTGCTAAAACAGCAGAAGACGGCAGACACGAGTGTGGAGTGTGGTGAGAGAGAGAGAGAGAGAGAGAGAGAGAGAGCGAGTGAGAGGTAGAGAGAGCCTCATGGCACTTAATAACATTTGAGTAAGTGAGCAACAATACTCGCATGAGCCAGCCAGCAAGTGCATAAATGAAGCCATACTCCTCACCTCTCACCTGGAATTGCTCCATTTCACAGTTCCGCATGTCAGTGGCACGTGTCTGGGCGAGGGAGCGTCTCGAGATGCTCGCCCCTGCTGTTGATGATCCCTTCACTGTGTCGCTCGCATGACTCTCCTTTGGCCCTGAAGTGGTGATGCTTCATGGCGTAGGGCATTCAAATGTCGTCTGGCTCTCGCCTCTCTACCGCACTCTCTTTCGCGCTGTTTTAGTGCTGGATGTCTCATGCATCTGCTGCTATGTATATATGCGCTGGTGCTGCCACTGATGATGATGAGGCTCATTGCCTCCCATGCTTTATTATATTCCCGGCTACATATGCGAAGCTTCTTTTATGGCCTCTACGTGAGCAAGCGAAGGAACCAACGGAACATGTCAATGGGCGTAGCAGCAGCTTCGGGGCAGGGGGGGAAACACATGCCTAAGATTTGTACCACCAAAGCAGGACATGAGTATTTCACGGATTAGTTGCTTTAAGTTGCCAATTCTCGATTGAGTCAGTTGGACACCCCCCTTGCGACTGAGCCACTGGCCCACTACCAAGGCAACTTTTGCATACTTTTTATACGACTCAAATTATGTATAATTTTATTTGAGAATATTCTTCTTGCTGTGATTTCACTACCTCCAGCGAAGGAGTTTTATGACCAGTTGCTCTGCCACCTACGCACACGTGCCCTTACCCTTACCCGC